CTAAAAACTCTAAATATTTCGATTTGTTACTGGATAAAAAGAAGCACACTAAAACCATTAACAATAAGACTGCAAGAAATACTTTCGCATTTTCGCAACCACTTTGTTAATCACTACAATGTTATCTATCAAAGAACCAAAGCTAAGCATTTTTGGGCCATAAACAGTAAGCAAGTAATGGGAAATTTAGTTTTAGTAATGATAGGTTGCAAATATTCTCAGCTAGCTCTCAATTTTATTTATAACTTACCAGATGAGGTAGTCAGAAGCAATTTCAGAAAACTTGCACATTCGTGTGAAAGGGTATAGTTGAAGAATGCACAATAAGAAAGTGTACCACACAATTTGTACAGTGCAAGGAATCATTTGATGATTTCAACTGTTTTCTTATGAAATCATATTTTCTGGACTAAGTGAGACACACTGCGACGTACCCTTAACCTGTCTATAGCTCTTAAAGTAAAGATAACTGGATTCCATTACTGCATCTAACATGTGTAGCACATCTTTTAGTTGATATGATGTTGTTTTAATGAAAGTTCAAATTAACCGGAGGAATTGGGAAACAAATGGGACCAAATACACGTTTCTGTAACAAAGCATAATGAAAAAGGCTTACTAAGTTTTTTTTTTTAGTTTGTATGGAATTCCCATTTGCACGCGGATGATCTTTCAACACCAATTACAGCAGATTTTCAATGTGTGATCTACTTTCAAAGTGCAATACAATATCTGATTATTTCTCTAAGAGCAGTGCTGAACAGATTTTTTTGCAAACTTTACAGTATCCTACTTCATATCCCAGGACAACACTGCTGGCCCTGATGATTCACCTCATGTTCTGAATGTTATGAATATAAGCTGCTAACATAGAACCACCGCATAATTTTGGTTTGAAGCGACCTTTTTAAAACATCTTTATGCCAACATATTCCAGAGTTCTTGCTTCTCAAGGCTGCTACCCACTTGAAGTATTTTGGAGGGGCCTCCTGGCGCTCAGATTGAAGTGTAACCTCATTCTAATAAAATTATCTCTAATTTGTAAAAACAAACCTTTTATGACACATTCTGTTCTGGTAATCTAACTAGATTTGCGAACAAAAGTGAACTTCTTGAAAGCTGGTCCTCATAAAATTGTTGCGAAGGTATGAATGTAACGCAAACGTTCATAGCAGCCCTATTTAATGTACTTAAATCTTTTCAATAGAGAAAAGGAACTAAAAATTTTGTATTCGAGAAAGAGAAGCAGTTTTCAACCTAAAAACGATAGCTTCAAAGTTATCTTCTCTATCCTAGTATTAATCTGTAAATAATATAGGCTAAGGAGGAGGATTACTAAAGTCCCACTCCTTTGTTTCCAATTCTTCATCCCAGTTAATTTAATATTTTGTTCTGTAAATTGAGGTTACGATCTACATACTCAATGATCTAATGAACAAACGGAAATCAATCCTGCCTGTGCATTCGTTGCCGTTTTTCTGCTTGTCGTCGTTGTGTACGATTTCGCCATCTAATTCTAATTTATTATCTGTATTCTATATTTTAAAATTTCTATAGTCTCACACAGCTGTTTCCAGAGATGAAATGTTGTTTATAAGGTGCTCTTCTGCATTATAATAATAGACGTCACTTTTAAAAGAAAGCTCCAGCTTTTTTGCAATATTTTTATTTCTATGCTGAGTGACAGCTATTCAAACGAAACGTTAAACTTGTTTCAAAGAATTAATTGACGAGCAACTAAATAAACTGCATTTTGAATCAAAAAAACTTCGGTAAAACCATCAGGTCCATAATTAAATATTAAAGGTAAAGTGCATAATAGAGTAACACAAAAGAAAGCAGTATTAAGCCACATGAGATCTTCCCTTTTCGAAATCTTTATCTTTTTTTTAGTTTTTACTGATCTCATTTTAAAAATGTAATTTATAGTGACCTATCTCGATTTTCTAAAATTTTCCTTCGTTATTCTACTGCTCACAGCTTCCATATTTTATCG